TTCATATACTTTCTGATTGTTCAAATGCAGCCTTCCAACCATCTGGGGCTCATAGTGGGGCCATGCTACCTTCCTCGGGAGCACCTGCTTGATCTGGGGCGCACACTGGGTGGCCAGATCGGCCCTCCAGAGCGCTCGGAAGGCCTCGTGCCAGCCCCATGCCGGCCCGCAGACTTGCGCTGGACTTCCGCCAGGTGTTGCCGGCGGTCCGCCCATGGCCGGTGCTGCACTTTTGGCTGTACGTCCCAGGCACCCTGGGGAACAATGAACGGGAAATCTTCCACGAGGTCGGGGATGAACGATGCCCACCCGGATATCAAAACAAGCTCGAAAGAAAGACAAACAGAAGCGCCGGCCAGGATGGCACGACAGCAGCAACAAAAAACCACGGCGACCTCCGGACGGTCTGTTTGGTGGCCTCTTCGGCCCCCTGCCCCTCCGAGGAGCGGGGCCTCCATGGAATCACGAGGGGCGACGTCTAAGGCCTCCGGGTGGCGGGACCATGTAGAGGGGCCCGGGGAGACACGAATCCGCCGATCTGGCGTGCGAGGCTCAAAAATCCTAAGTCGGCGGTGGGCAAAACTCCCTTTCGTAAACCTCCCTTTGGTGAAAGCGGCCTGAGACCGAGACCGACGGGCCCGGACCCGCAAAAATGACGGCCGCGACGCCCTCCTCGCGAACCGAAAAGCGGCCAATCCACTAATCGACGTGTCATGACTACCTACCAGACCACCCCAACCCAACCCGAAGACCCCAATTTCGGGTTGGGGGGGGGCAAGGGTTCCACACGTGTTTTTTCGATGTTTCCCGACCCCCCCCCACTGGAAATCGAGGGTAAATCTGAGCCTTCGGGTTGGGTTGGGGTGGTTTGGTGGGTGGTGATGTCAGGGTAGGAGGTCTGTCCCGCCCCGACGAAGCTACAGCCCGGAGCCCGAGCTCCCGCTCCTGCCGGGGAAGGTGGCCGGGCTGGCTCTGCCAGGGAAGGGGGGTGGGACGCGGAGCCCCCTCTTGCTGCGCCCGTGCTCCGCTTTGCTCCGCTCTGCTCCGCTCTGCTCCGCTGTCTTGGGAGGCCTCGGGACGTCAAGATGTACAACTCAGGACCTCTGAGGCCCTACTCGCCATCGCTCGGACGTCCATGCCCTGTGCTTTTTTCGGTTTCGTGCGTGTGTTTGTTTCGCCAAGTGATCAAGGATGCTCCTCGGTGGTCCTCGCCGAGGAAAAAACGCACACGTCCGAGCGATGCCAGGCCTACACAATCGCTGACCGATCGGGCCCAGTCTCCCAAGATAGTCTCCAGTCGGCCGCAGAAGCGCCCAAAATGTCTCAAGAGGCTTCAAGAGCACCGCCAAAAGGGCGCCAAGAGGTAAAAATTACGCTACCGAGGAACCCCACATACTTATATTATGGCTGGAGTGATGATAGCTGAAAAGAAGCATGTGAGAATGATGTTGGTGGCCGTTCCCTGCGCGCCCCCTCTGATGTCGAGAAAATGACACGCCTGCTGCGCCGTGCGAGCCTGCAACGGATAGAGACCGCACCCCACGCGCACCCCCTCTGTTATCGAGACTTTGCCATGCCTGCCGCGCCCTGCGCGCCTGCAACGCATAGAGACCGCCCCCTTGTGCACCCCCTCTGGTGTCGAGAATTCCCACGCCTGCCATGCCCTGCGCACCTGCAACGCATAGAGACCGCACCCCCTGCGCACCCTCCTGGTGTCGAGAAAATGCCGCGCCTGCCGTGCCCTGCGCGCCTGCAACGCATAGAGACCGCACCCCCTGTTCACCCCCTCTGGTGTCGAGAATTCCCACGCCTGCCGCGCCCTGCGCGCCTGCAACGCATAGAGACCGCACCCCCTGCGCACCCTCCTGGTGTCGAGAAAATGCCGCGCCTGCCGGCCCTGCGCGCCTGCAACGCATAGAGACCGCACCCCCTGTGCACCCCCTCTGGTGTCGAGAAAGTGCCACGCCTGCCGCGCCCTGCGCGCCTGCAACGCATAGAGACCGCACCCCCTGCGCACCCTCCTGGTGTCGAGAAAATGCCGCTCCTGCCGTGCCCTGCGCGCCTGCAACGCATAGAGACCGCACCCGATGTGCACCCCCTCTGGTGTCGAGAATCCCCACGCCTGCCATGCCCTGCGCGCCTGCAACGCATAGAGACCGCACCCCCTGCGCACCCTCCTGGTGTCGAGAAACTGCCGCGCCTGCCGTGCCCGCGCCTGCAACGCATAGAGACCGCACCCCTTGTGCACCCCCTCTGGTGTCGAGAAAATGCCACGCCTGCCGTGCCCTGCGCGCCTGCAGCGCATAGAGACCGCACCCGATGTGCACCCCCTCTGGTGTCGAGAATTCCCACGCCTGCCGCGCCCTGCGCGCCTGCAACGCATAGAGACCGCACCCCCTGCGCACCCTCCTGGCGTCGAGAAAATGCAGCGCCTGCCGTGCCCTGCGCGCCTGCAGCGCATAGAGACAGCACCCCCTGTGCACCCCCCCTGGCGTCGAGA